CCCACTAGAAGCCACAACATACAAGCCTACATACGCCAAGACATGCCGCCGGATATCGACTTCAGGTATAGGTATGGCTATTCCCCTACGGTGTCTCCGGATACCGTCAGGAGATACGAAAGCGCTATCTCTGATCTCACCGGACACGGATTTGAGGAGGAAGGCTACCCTGTTATCGACTACAAGTCAGACATTCAGACCGCCATGTCGACAACAGTTAGATAGGCTACCCCACATATTGTACTGGTGTGATTATGGTGAATAAAGAGCAACATCGGCTCCGGCCAACAGGATGTAGAGTTATTACCTGACCACTCAGGAGCCTGAACCTATATAAAAATCCTCGTCCCCATCTTTTTTACCTCAGTCTCGCGTATATCCTAACACCGACGATCCCTATACTATGCAAATACCAGAATTACGACATCAAACGTCGACAGTGGCGTGCCAGGTAGGAAGATTTTGGTGCTCTAGGATTTTGACGGGATGGGTTCAAAAGATGGATACTCCGACAACAAGCTACTCGACGACTTCAACTGTAAGGAGATCTAACTCGATCGAAGTATGTCTTCTGACGAAATCGGAACTATCATCGTCGTCAATCATCTGCCCTATGGAGATCGACAAAATCCAAGATTCCCAAGCTGCAGACAACCAACGATGACGTGCCTGTGGTCATCGGGGAGCCATGCGCATAGATCTGTCATCTGTTTTTATGGGAGTTGGATTCGTCTATGTTTGCCTGGTCCTGTCCGTCCTCTGTCACCAACAGACCCCGGCAAGACTACCAGCGAGCCCAGATGCATCGGTGCACCCCAGCTAGCAGGCAATCAGGTACATGCATGGACAGAGGCAATGCACGTGGCCACGATGGAGACCTATTGTGATGCAGCTAATCCACCAAGCCACCGTGCAAATCAAAGGTAATTAGTGGATTAGTTATTTAAATTAATCTACTAATTTCATATATATATATCCGGCATATATCTATAAAGGTACGCAATATTTTATCTGCAATTTATCGTACCTATTCAGATCATACAGCATTGTCAGATCTATAATTTATTGCGTTTACCTAGAGCATGTCTTTTATACAAATATCTGTTGCGTGAGTGTCCCCGATGTTAAATCGACTACGATCTAACGCTGGGGGCTCGCTCCGTTCTCTTCTGTATAAATCATGCTTGTTTACGGTTTACATAATGCCTGATATTTAATCTGCTTGTTATATCCTGATAATACTAGAAGATCCACGCAGTTTTTAGTACATACTCGATATTATCTGCTATATGTCTTGCCTTCTAGAAAATATTTTTCATGAATAATTGAGCACTCGAGTAGGTTATGGTCGAGTACACTCCATTATCGAGAACATTCTTGACAAATACAGAGTTATTACACCCAACCTACCAACAAAGACCGGCGACCTATCTCATAGCACCGGACATGGCTGGACTACTCGAGAAAAGGTTGTTAACGGATAATTCCTCGCGAACGTCGTCGGCTTGATCATCCGACATGATTGCGAACGGACATCCGGATATGCTATAAGTTGGGTACGTGAGTCATGCTGGCCACATGAGATAATTCTACTTGCTCACTGGTTCTCGCACCAGTACGTAGCAATCTCTCGCACCGCAACTTCCATTGGTATTCGAGAGATAATTCTGCTCGCTCACTGGTTCTCGCACCAGTACGTAGCAATCTCTCGCACCGTAACTTCCATTGGTGTTCGAGAGATAATTCTGCTCGCTCACTGGTTCTCGCGCCAGTACGTAGCAATCTCTCGCACCGCAACTTCCATTGGTGTTTGAGAGATAATTCTGCTTGTTCACTGGTTCTCGCCCCAGTACGTAGCAATCTCTTACACCGCAACTTCCATTGGTGTTCGAGAGATAATTCTACTTGCTCACTGGTTCTCGCACCAGTACATAGCAATCTCTCGCACCTTAACTTCAGATGGTCGAGGTACGACTATGGTAGCGTAGCGGTCCTCGCACCATGACTTCAGATGGTTGAGGAACGGTTACGACTGGTCTTCGACCGGCAGCGTAGCGGTCCTCGTACCACGACTCCAAATGATCGAGGGACACCTACTCACCGGTTCTCAACCAGTTGATCGTAGTGATCTCTCGTACATTTGCTTCAAGTGGTCGAGTTACGACTACTGCCTGGTCCTCGACCAGCGATGTAGCGTCTCTCCGACTACTTCCACTTTAAGTGGTCGAGTTACAACTACTGCCTGGTCCTCGACCAGCGATGTAGCGTCTCTCCGACTACTTCCACTTTAAGTGGTCGAGTTACAACTACTGTCTGGTCCTCGACCAGCGATGTAGCGTTTCTCTCCCTATTTCCACTGCAAGTGGTCGAGTAACGACTACTTCCTGGTCCTCGACCAGCGATGTAGCGTCTCTTCGGCTACTTCCACTTTAAGTGGTCGAGTTACGACTACTGCCTGGTTCTCGACCAGCGGTGTAGCGTTTCTCCGGCTACTTCCACTTTAAGTGGTCGAGTTACGACTACTGCCTGGTTCTCGACCAGCGGTGTAGCGTCTCTCCCACTACTTCCACTTTAAGTGGTCGAGTTACGACTACTGCCTGGTGCTCGACCAGCGATGTAGCGTTTCTCCCACTATTTCCACTTTAAGTGGTTGAGTTACGACTACTGCCTAGTCCTCGACCAGCGATGTAGCATTTCTCCCACTATTTCCACTTTAAGTGGTCGATTTACGACTACTGCCTGGTCCTCGACCAACGGTGTAGCGACTCTCCTACTACCTCTACTTCAACAAAGTTGATAGCAGGTACACAATATCGTCAACGTGTTTTACCCAGAGATCCCTTACCACGACGACACCTAGCGTTGAAACCTATCCTACTGTCCCTTTACGCCGTCTTGACAAGGCCTCCGAGGAACCTAAGGGATCTTCGGCTGGGGACGCCCAGAGCCGATAAGGCTTTGTCGGATCCTGTAGAGACGAAAGACCATGTAAGATTTGGTCGTGTAAGAGTTCTCGCCGTGCATATTAACCAAGCCGTGTAATCGGAAATTAACTTTCCAACTTCACGGCTGGGGGCTAGGATCAGTGCTTATTCAACCAAGACAGGTCAAGGGTCCAAGAGCCTTATCCTCTGAGAACAATTCTCCGACAACAAGGCTGGGAGCTAGGGAGAGTGTATGACTCCACAAACTGACTGATCGAAGTCGGTAAGAGAGAAGACGCTCATACACAAAACATTGGTCGGTAAATTTAATTCATTTTCAATTTACCATACATATTATAACATGTCACCCTTTGAGCATTCGCTCGGGGGCTCTTTCTATTTGATATTCTTTTCTGAGTATTGATTTCAGGAAAATTATATTCGACATTTACGAAGACTCCATGTCTGTATGGTTCTACACCAAGATCGACTAAAGGCGAGTACGACAAATGTTGACAAAGCTCCGTCGAAGACTCTACGCCTTCTCGATCACTCGAGAACGGTTGCTGGATCTCGACAAGGAATACGGAATGAAAAGATGGTGTACCCGCCGAGATAAAATTTCTTGACTTCAATCCAAATTCTTGATTACAGCAAGGCGGGAGACTTAGTCATACGCTCTATACTTTCTCGGTCGACATCAGAGATTGACTTAGACAAACCCTTTCGGTGCCCGCACGAGGCTGACAAAGGAAGTCCAACGTTCTCTCTAAACTCACCGAGAACGGTCACATGAGCTCGATAACAGTTACTCCAATGTCTGCGCGCGGTTGAGAATATGAATTCGTTCATTTGCATCGAAGTCGGGGGCTACTGTCAGGGTTATGTATACCACATACCTAATAGTAGTTGACTAAATCTCGGCAAGACCCACCACATACCATGTCCTATACGGAAACAACCTACGAATATAGGAGGAGTTTCGGATAAGGAAAGACAACCAGAGTTCTACATGGAAATGATAAGGACTACTCGGATTGTATCCATATTGGTTTCTCTAGTTCTACTTAGACAAAGGGACACCTATGGGTATAAATATAAGCCCCCCTAGGAGGACAGGGGAGAAGGACCATGGAAGACACCCATGACAATCAACACACGCCCACCAGCAGCCACAACATACAAGCCTACATACGCCAAGACACGCCGCCGGATATCGACTTCAGGGATAGGCATGGCTATTCCCCTACGGTGTCTCCGGATACCGTCAGGAGATACGAAAGCGCTATCTCTGATCTCGCCGGACACGGATTCGAGGAGGAAGGCTACGCTGTTGTCGACTACAAGTCAGACCTTCAGATCGCCATGTCGACAATAGTTAGATAGGCTACCCCACATATTATACTGGTGTGATTATGGTGAATAAAGAGCAACATCGGCTCCGGCCAACAGGATGTAGGGTTATTACCTGACCACTCAGGGGCCCGAACCTGTATAAAAATCCTCGTCCCCATCTCTTTTACCTCAGTCTCGTGTATATCCTAGCACCGACGATCCCCATACTATGCAAATACCAGAATTGCGACATCAAACGTCGACACAATGGTTTTTTATTTAGTGGCTGTGTTTATTCGCAAGAACTTATTGAATATATTGTTTGGGCTCGTAATAAATTAAAAGGTTGCTTCTGTTACTCAGCCTAGAGCCCTGAGCTTTATACAAGGACATTGATGTAGGAGTAATCCATTACTTTTTTGGTGGACTTGCAAAAACATGGGCATTTTTCTTAGCAAGAATTATTAAGTAGAATAGTGTCCAAGAGGTTTTTAAAGATATTATGAAAATAATATCTCCTATGTTTAGCCAAAGGCTACTTGTACTCATGTCTCTCGTCCTGTCATCTTTCCCATCTTCGGTGACATCCTGTCTTTGCTTCTTAACTATTTTGGATCTAACGCTCTTTTCATCTTTGACGTTGCCCACGACCCATTGCAATCGTCTAAACCCAGGAAACCCTATCTTTTTTCCTCCCTTTAAACTTAACCCTAAACCTTAACTAGTTGAGGTCATCGGAGTTACTCCTTCCATCTAAAAAATCAACCTTGTACTACAACGAATCTGTACATATTCGTATCTCATAGTGCGAAATTGTTTTTCGGATAGAGGGATAGAAGGTAAACTGTAGCACGAATCGTGAAGCAGATCCGACGGTCCTAGCAATCCGAATCCGCCACTTGCATGTGGGCCCCGTCATCTGACCCTTCGAAAGGCTTTCAGCCCAAATTCCCCTTGCGAATCAGCATCAACAGGTCGGCGGAGGCGACCGGAGAAGTTCGCCGCCGCCGCCGGAGAAGAGCGAGGATGTCGTACCTGCTGCCGCACCTGCACTCCGGGTGGGCGGTAGACCAGGCCATCCTCGCCGAGGAGGAGCGCCTCGTCATCATCCGCTTCGGCCACGACTGGGACGAGACCTGCATGCAGGTTTGCTTTACCTTTCTACTCCTCCCCCTCTCCTATTGATTTTACCCATAGTAACTGGTAGCCCTAGCCCCTTAGGTAGTAGTAGTATATGCTTATGTTGGCAGGTAGATTCTAGGCGTTGTTTGTGGCCTCTGGTCTGGCTGAATCGTCGATTGGGTATGTTAAGGTGGGGGTGAGGTTGTTGTAAGGTGCGGCGAATTCGCGGCACCCGGTCAATTTGGAGTTACCTATATCTGATCGATTCTTGAAGTCGAGGAGCATGTGCTTCTGAATTCATGAAATCGAGCTGTGATTCGGTGAAAAATTGCGAGGAGATGCGGAATTTCGGTACCCCTTTTGTGCGGTGTTGTCAAGTCAAATATATGCAAGTGGCTGGATTTGAGGAGCATGGAGCACCACCACTTGTGCACAATGATTTCTACTTGGATGAACTGTTTAGTGGATCTTGTTAAGTTGCTACATTAGCTGATGTTCTTTCACGCCTTGTAATGCCAATCAGTAATGTGAATGTCTAGTGACTGGAGGTTGCGATATAATATGAAAAGCTTAGGTGGGTTTTGGGGGTGCTGATGCTGCTTAGCTGACAGATGTGGGGAAAGTGTTCTGTTACTTGCTTGAGCCGTCTTCCGTTTGGTGCGTAACCATGGTTTCGATATGAGTTATTCTGTGTACTCTCCCTGACTTATACTGTTATATATGGTTGCTCTCTTAACCTATATTAACATTACGATTTCCAGAAGTTAGCATGTTATGTAATGCAGTTCAGCATTCTTTTCAGAAAATTAAAGAGGTTTGTTTATTAGCTCTAATGAAAGTGACAGCCTGACAGGTATTTAGGATGCTCCTTTCATAAATGTAAGTCATAAACCTTATGATTTCACATCAATAACTACCTAGTGGTTAGTAATTAACTAGTTATAGATACAACATTCTTCCCTGCTGCCTTACATATTCAACCATCCTTTGGTTTTTATCTTCAGATAACATTATTAAACTGCTTCCAGCATCTGGGGCAGAAACCAGTGTCTGGACAAGCCCTGGACTGGGCGCTGTCGCTTAGTTGAGCCTGCCCTTTTCCTCTTTCAAGGATGTTTTTGTGGACCTTTTGTCCTGTGCCTTGGGCTGCAGCCGAAGTAGCATGACGCTTGGTTACACCACTACTTGGAACAATTGACATTATATAATTGATAGCATGCCCTAATTGCCCCTGTTGTTCTGTAGGGTATGGTCAGTCAGTGCCAACAAGGCAACAAGAGCAGTAGGGAATTAGGATTTTTTTTTCCTTCCTTAAGATATTGATCTATTTATGATGCCTTAAAAGAGTTTCCATTTAATATATAAATTTCATCTTTCACAAAACTGAAGTTTCCATGCACTGCTTGATGAAATTAAATCGGGACTCTGGACCTTCAATTGTCTTTGCGAGGAGATTGTTTTCAAATAAATGGACAAATGCTATTTGTTTTTATGGGTGCAGCTCCTTTTTCCTTTTTGCAAAGAAAAAAAAAGTTATAGGCTGTTTAATGTTTATGCTCTTATTGACAATGTTCATGCCCTTTGGCTGCACAACAATTTTAATTAGTACTGTTGTATGCTGTGGAATTACTGACTCATATTTACCTTTTTTATATCTGTTAGATGGATGAGGTGTTGGCAGCAGTGGCTGAGACCATAAAGAACTTCGCGGTCATCTACCTGGTTGACATCACTGAGGTTCCTGACTTCAACACCATGTACGAGCTGTATGATCCATCAACAGTCATGTTCTTTTTCCGAAACAAGCACATCATGATTGATCTTGGGACTGGAAACAACAACAAAATCAACTGGGCCCTGAAGGACAAGCAGGAGTTCATCGACATTGTGGAGACTGTCTACAGGGGTGCTCGGAAGGGGCGGGGTCTGGTGATCGCTCCAAAGGATTACTCCACGAAATACCGTTATTGAGGCATTTGTGTTTTGCCTGTTGCAGTTTCTAGCCTACTCTGTTAGGTAAAATGCTGCTAGCAATCAGGTAAGTGACACCAAAGGCAAAGCACTGCGGTCTGTGGACTTGCAAAATGTTGGTTAGCTATGTATTGGCATCTCACAAGCTTGTAATGCTTGACATGATTGTTGAAATATTCATCTATCAATTGAAACGGCTGAATGATGTAAACTGTTTTTCCGGTTTGATGCATCTGGATGTTGCTGGTGCATGTTGCCTTTGCCGTGATTCTACACTCCTAAACTTTCTAGTGGTAGAAACTTTGTTGGTGTTCTAGTGTACGTTGATATATCTTTGGAAACTTGGTTTACAACTTTATTCAATAATTAATATTACCATCTTTGTTTTATGTCCGAAGTTGTCAATTCATCAATATTAGCATTTTTTGCTCTCTAAGTTGTTGCCGGCCAAAAAGTTACATCAATGGATGCTTGCATATGACCTGGTAGAGCAAGGTTCTTTCATGGTTTCAATATCGTACAATTCCAGGAAGGTATTAGTACGGCATAAGGTATGGTTTGTGTTTCACACGTGCTGCTCATGAATTTTCTCTCATTATTCTTCTTTGATCTTATAAAAGAAGGTGAAGTCGTGAAGAGACGTTGTCCTTCATGGTGCTAACCCTTGCTCATAGTATATATACTATAGCAATTTGTAATATTACTTATCTTTCTATTTTATTCTGGAAGTGTGGAAACACTATTTGCCTCAAACTGTAAGAAACTGAAGTAGCTTATAGGGTTCGCTTCACATTGGTAATCAAAGCCCCTCATTTTCCTTTAATTACAATGGGATAATTTTGTCATTTTATCATTTCCAGTGGGCCCCACTTCCTCCACCTCACTCTATCTTCTCGAGCTCTTCGTCGGGCACCACCGTTGTGGATGACGACACACCAAAAGGACAGAGGAGATGTGAGGGGACATGGCGGGAGCGTCGCCCATGGCGAGGACGCCGTTGAGGTCATCTCCGCCGCCCCCACCGGTACCCAGCTCCCCGTCTCCTTCGGCGCTAGGGCGGGAGAGGAGAGGCACGACAGCCGTTGGGAGTGGAGCGGCCGGTTCGAGCGAGCGCACGAGCGGGGCCACTGCCACCTCCGCAACCCGCACTATTTGGCTGGCGCTCGCCGTGCCAAAGTCGGCCGCGGTGTCCATCTGGATGAACGGACGGGAAGAGAAGGAGGCGGAGGCGGAGGAGATCAGGGAAGGAGAGGGGGCGACGACCTTACTGCTAATTTTTTCGCTGATGCCGATGTGATGCAATGCCGCACCTCTCCACGTTGCCCTTATCTTCGCCAGGCGTCGCCCTTCTCCCTGCTAGCTCCTTTCCACCGCCTGTCGGGCGTCACGCCCGGAGAGAGGAGATGGGAGGGAGATGAAGGGAGATGGGGAGAGAGGAGGAAGAAGACCGCCCGGGAGAGAGAAGAGGGGAGTGAGAATGACATGTGGGGCCCTCGTGGCCCCACCATTCTTAATTATTTTTTGGTGCAGCTGACATGTGGGCCTATGGTTTATTATTATTTTCCAGATCAAATTGCCATGTAAGCGCTATGCCAATGCCACGTTGGAAGAAGACTTAGTCAAATTAGCCATGTAGGAGCCACGTCAGCCAAAACCAGGGACACTACTGTCGAAGGATCTCGTTTGCACAGATTTTGTAAGTTGGGAGACCGATTGTATCTTGTTTTTCGGTTCAAGGACGAAAGTGGGATTCGGTATCAAGTTGAAGGACCTGAAATGAACTTATTCCTTTTCTGGACTATACAACTGGACGAAAACTTGTACTGCTTGGGGCAGGCCGGGCAAAAAGGTGGCTACGAAAAGCCCATACCACTAATGGGCCTCTTGACTCCTTGCGCTTCCTCCGGCCTTATTACTCCCCTCTCCCCCGCCCCCTCCCCTCTCCCCCACGTCTCGTCTCCCCTTCCCTTCCCCCCCGCCGCCTTCGCCGCCGACGCGCCGATCTCCACCACCCCCCACCTCGCTCCGCCGCCGCCGCCGCCTCTTGCTACTGCCTCCCTCCCTCCGCCGCATACTCCCCTCGCCCTCCGACCACTCCCCCTCCTCTACTCCCCCGTCTCCTCCTCGCCACTTCGCCACCCCGCCGCCTTCGCCGATCCCCTCACCCATCCCGCCGCGAGCTGAGCAGAGGAGCCGTGGGTTTCCGTCGTCCTGCTGCTTCCGCCTCCGGTGAGCACCCGCGCCCTCTCGTTCTTCTACCCTAGGACTTATCCTCTCTTGTAGATCTGGAAGCTAAGCTAGGTTTTCCTCGTTGCGTTAGCGTTAGTACTAATAATGACAGTTGTTTTAGTTTGTTTTGAATAAATAAAATAATTAGTTAGCTAATGATGTGGTTTGTTTCAGTGATCGAGTGGTGCGTTCTCATCAACGGGCCTTGTGCGCTAAATTATGCGATCTTCATGGGCTGACTCAGCTGCGAACGCCGAGGAATCGGCGCCCGCGGCTGCTGCTAACCACGGCAACTCGCGCCTCCCGCGCAGCTCATACGTTCCCCCGCACCTCCGCGGCCAAGCGGCTCCTGCAGCGCCGGCGCAAGCTGGCGCGCTGCCCTCGGCCGCCGCCGCCGCGCAGCCTTCTGTTGGCCAGCCTGGTGTGGTTGGTGGCCCTCGCTGGGCGGGCATTGTGAATGGTGGTGGTGGTGGTGGTGGTGGGAGCGTAGGTGGTTCTCGCCAGGGCTTTGGTGCTGGTGGCCGCGGTGGAGGAGGTGGTGGTGGCGGTGGTGCATGGAACTCCCGCCCTGGGGGTTGGGACCGAAGAGACCGTGAACCGGATCCTTTTGCCAATAGTGAGGCTGCGGAAGTTGACTTTGAGGGCGAGAACACTGGCATCAATTTTGAAGCCTATGAAGACATCCCTGTTGAGACAAGTGGCCATGATGTGCCCCCACCAGCCAATACATTTGCGGAGATTGATTTGGGTGACGCGCTGAATGAGAATATCAGAAGGTGCAAATATGTGAAGCCGACACCAGTGCAGCGTTATGCCATCCCAATCTCCATTGCAGGACGGGATCTCATGGCCTGTGCACAAACAGGATCTGGAAAGACAGCAGCCTTTTGTTTCCCTATCATCAGTGGAATCATGAGGTCAAGGCCACCCCCCAGGTCACGGGGTTCCAGGACCGCATATCCTCTTGCACTAATCCTATCTCCCACTCGTGAGCTTTCGGTCCAAGTATGTCCGACTGAACCTTGTGTTCCTCTTTGTATTATTTGCAGAACTATCTTTTATTATTTTGGTTGATTCGCTTGCGATATTTCATTCCATAGATCCATGAAGAAGCAAGGAAGTTTGCATACCAGACTGGTGTTAAAGTGGTCGTTGCATACGGAGGAGCGCCAATTACTCAGCAGGTTTGTGTCTATTTAGTCTATGATACGTTTCAACCGTAATGCCTTGTATTTTGGTCTGTGCATACCTGAGTTTCACATGCTTTGCCTTGTCAAGAGGATTGTACACATTTTCTGCTTTACTTGGACATTTGCTGATATGATGCATTTACATCCACGGCTTAAAATTTTAAATCGTGCCATCTAAGAGAACTGAATACTTTAGCAAGTTCACGTGTCACAATCTGCTACGATAAAAAAGAATAGAATATTAGTGCAAGGCCCTCATTTGTAAACATCATAGTTGTACTGGCAAAGCAAACCTTGTGGCCTGTGCTTTAAGGGGCTTTTTTGTTGGTGGCCACAGTTTGTCACACCAAACCTTATGCGCGCCACAATTTCTTAGGTTAGTATTTGATTGAGTGCCACAATTGAGTCAAGCCATACTTTATTAGCACATTGGCCCACGCATCATACTCTCATTTTCTAGCCAAAGTTTGCCATAGTTGTGGCCATCAAATTGTTAGCCACACTTTGTGTGGCTTGCCACAGTTATATGGCAAATGGAGTTGTGGCAAATGAATTGGGCCGCTTGCCCAGAATTTGTAATCCCGATTTAGTTGGTAGAGAGGCAACATTGTGACAAGTTCATGAAATGTAGTTATGAAATGACATATTCAAGTATCTGTTTTTAAATTGCTAGGCTCTAAATTGGGTTTAACAAAATCCAATCTTGATGAAACTTGAGATCCAAGGAGAGCAAACATACCTTGAACAAAACTAAAGAATACTATATATGTAGCAAACTAAATAACATAAATTCTTCTTATTATTGCAATAATTCAAGTGGGAACTTTTTGTAACATAAACTTGTGTATGCTTGACAGAACAAGAAATACAAATATAAAAGGTATAAGCTGACATTTGAATGCTAGGAATGGGTCTTAAAATGTTTTTTTCCATGTAATTGGATATTGTACTAAGTAAAGTGTATGGTTGTTTTTGTAGCTGAGGGAGTTAGAAAGAGGTGTTGAAATCCTTGTGGCAACTCCTGGCCGCTTAATGGATTTGTTGGAGAGGGCTAGAGTCTCACTGCAGATGATAAAGTATTTAGCTCTTGATGAAGCTGATCGAATGCTTGATATGGGATTTGAGCCCCAGATACGTAAAATAGTTGAGCAGATGGACATGCCTCCACGTGGAGAGAGGCAGACGATGTTGTTTAGTGCTACATTTCCAAAGGAGATACAGGTTCGCTTCTTTCCCTAGTCTGGCTTTCTGCTATTCGATCGCATCACTGAATTTGATTGCAGATTTCTGTTTTCTAATGTTAATCATTTTTGGGAGTTTTATTCCCTTGAATAGTGATCCATATGTTGTATTTTAGTTCTCTATGAATGTTTGCATATTTTGTTTTAGAGTAAATTTCACAAAACTACAGGTATTTTGACCAAATTATCACAAAACTACAGATTTAAGGAGTTGTATCACAAAACTACATATTTAGCACCAAATTTATCACAAAACTGCAGATTTTAGGTTAAGTATCACAAAAATGCATATTTAATATTGAACTTATCACAAAACTACAACGTTTGGAGTTTAAATCCCTAGCACCATTGTTATGGTGGAGCTATAAACATTATTACTTTGTGATTAAATTGGTTCTAAACCTGTAGTTTTATGATAATTTAGTTACTCCCTCCGTCCCATAATAGGTGACGTTTTTGACTTTTTATTTGCAACGTTTGACCATTCGTTTTATTTGAAAAATTAGTGCAAATATAAAAAAAGATAAGTCATATGTAAAGTACTTTTGATAATAAAGCAAATGATAAACAAAATAAATAATAATTCCAAAATTTTTTGAATAAGACGAATGATCAAACATTGACAAACAAAAACTCAAAAAGACAAAGTAATATGGGACGGAGGTAGTACTAAACATGTAGTTTTGTGACACTTCATCTTAAATGTGTAGTTTTGTGATATATTTGGTGTTAAATGTGTAGTTTTGTGATACACTGAGTTAAATCTGTAGTTTTGTGATAATTTGGTCATAGTATTTGTAGTTTTGTGAAATTTACTCTTTGTTTTACAGATGGTTTTTGTATTTTCATATTGCGATTCCACAATGACCATCAAATTCATATGCTTAAAACGTTGTACATCTTTAAAGTGATTGGATCTAGTTCTAACATGTGCATGTTAGAAAAATGCATCCTTTTTGTTTTCTCTGTGGTTAGTTCATTAGTCCCGAAAGTTTTTGAACCAAGCTCACAAATTTTTGTTTGGTTAGCAGTGAAAACCTACCATGATCTCACAAATGTTAATCGTTCCAAAGTTACCAGTATTTTCCCTTTGGGGGCATGGTTCCTGCATAAAGCTACCAGCATCTAACTTAGTGTTGTTACTGTGCCTGCATAAAATACAAGGATTACACTAATCGCCCAATGATTTACTGATGCAGAGAATGGCTTCAGATTTCCTCGCCGATTACATATTTCTTGCTGTCGGGAGAGTTGGTTCAAGTACTGATTTAATTGTCCAGAGGGTTGAGTTTGTCCTTGATGCTGACAAAAGAAGCTACCTCATGGACCTTCTTCATGCACAAAGGGCAAATGGTACACATGGGAAGGTACTGTGTATTTCAGGCTTTGTTGATCTGTTATTTTAATAAAAATTCATAGATTTAGTGTGTATATATGACACAAGGCATCCCGTTGGCTATTCTAAAATCATATTGTTTTCATACTTGTTGACACATTTTTAATAATTTCTTGTGTTTCACTCATTATTTCAGCAAGCTCTTACCTTGGTCTTTGTGGAGACAAAGAGGGGAGCTGATGCCCTGGAGAACTGGCTTTATAACAATGGGTTCCCAGCAACTAGCATTCATGGAGACAGAACACAACAGGTGTGGCTTTGCTTTGACTTGCTTGCATACAGAAGTGTATTCTTAGGGCCTGTTTGGCACAGCTCCAGCTCCACCTCTCTTGGAGCTGGAGTCCAGCCAAACAGTTTTAGGGCCTGTTTGGTACAGCTCCAATTCCTAAATTTAACTCCAGGAGTTGGGTCTGGAGTGGAGTTGTGGAGCTGCCTAAACCCAGCTCTACAACTCCAGTTCATTTTGTAAGAGAGCTCCACCCAACTCCACTCCCAGTTTTGATGGAGCTGAAACTGTTTGGCTGAGCTCCAGCTCCAGGAGGGGTGGAGCTGGAGCTGGAGCTGTGCCAAACAGGCCCTTAGCTCCACCTAAAATGGGAGTGGAGTTGGGTGGAGCTCTCTCACAAAATGAACTAGAGAGGTGGAGCTGGGTTTAGGCAGCTCCACAACTCCACTCCAGACTCAACTCCTGGAACTAAATTTAGGAGTTGGAGCTCTACCAAACATGCCCTTATAGTTATATGTCAGTGTATGGCAGAAGCTGTATAAAGATATTTGAAAATATTACCATGGCAACACTGCCTTGTTCACTTAGATAAGTCTTGGATATCATTGCATGTTTGTTTAATTTAATAAAGTTCACCATATGTACACTCAGGGTATCTCAAAATATGTAATGAAAAAGGTTAATATACCTACCAAATCAGTAATTCAAATCGAGTCTCTGCATTTGCATGTGGTGTATGATGATGATCACATCATACTTCCATCATACATCTCCCAGCAATACATCTTCACGAAGACCCCTTTTTTTCTGTAGCCATTCTGGATTACAAGGGTCAACAAATACTGATACATTGTACTGTGCATGTATGCTTTCTGAAACATTTACATTTGCCATGAAACATCTACTGTTATACGATGCCATTATCCTCGTATTATGGCTTCTGCAAGGTCTGGGTTGAACATGATACATCTGTTCTTTATACAGGAAAGAGAGTATGCCCTGAGATCCTTCAAGAGTGGAGCAACTCCCATCCTCGTGGCAACTGATGTTGCTGCTCGTGGACTGGATATACCTCATGTTGCCCACGTCATTAATTTTGACCTCCCAAATGATATAGACGACTATGTCCATCGGATAGGAAGGACAGGGCGTGCAGGGAAATCTGGTCTGGCAACTGCATTTTTCAACGAGAGCAACACCCCACTGGCAAGGCCGCTGAGTGAGCTCATGCAGGAGGCTAACCAGGAGGTTCCTCAATGGCTTGAGAGGTATGCTGCCCGTTCATCGTTTGGAGGCGGCGGCGGGAGAAACCGCAGGTCAGGTGGTGGTGCTAGGTTTGGTGGCCGGGACTTCCGACGAGACAGAGGCAGTGGTGGTGGAGGGTATGGTGGTGGAGGTGGAGGTTATGGAGGTGGCGGATATGGTGGTGGTGGCGGTGGAGGCGGCTATGGTGGCGGTAGCAGCTACGGAGGTGGCGGGCAAGGTTTTTCTAGTGCTTGGGACTGATCCTGATCCAGAGCTGTCATGAGAACTGAAATTTGAAACAATCGTGCTCTATTGGCCTCCCTTTGGTGACATGGAAATTTGAAATTTGAGTTGCCTTTTGATGATAGTATGGTGTGGCATCGCCTTCATCATTGGCGGTTCTCTCAGTCTGGTGTTGATTTTTCCTTTTTTGTGTACTGTACTAGGGATTGCTTGTGTTTTTTTATCTGCGAATTGTGAACTCATCTTTTAATGGGGCCTCTTTTATTAATTTCTCCTTTCTACTGTTTCATTTCGCATCGATGCTTTACTGCCTGTGTATGTTTATTTACCTCTTTCATATCCACTGGCAAAGTATTCATGTTAGTTTACCATGCAATGCTAAAGCTAAAAGCATTTGCTAGTTATTGCTTCAACTATTCCAATAATCAGAGCAGTATTTGTTCCAATAATCAGAGCAGTATTTGTTTGCTAGTCATTTCATTGGCTTATTGTTCCAGCCGGCATCACTCGAGGAACATTTGAATGCCATTTTCCATATTCTGGGTCTGTTTAGTTCGCAAAATGAAAATTTTTGGGTGTTACACTGGACGTTTGACTGGATGTCGGAAGGGGTTTTCGGATACAAATGAAAAAACTAATTTCAACGAGGCGAATTTTGAGCCTAATTAATCCGTTATTAGCACATGTGGGTTACTGTAGCACTTTTGGCTAATTATGAACTAATTAGGCTTAGAAGATTCGTCTCACGATTTTCTCTCTAAGTGTGCAATTAGTTTTTTAATTTATTTATATTTAATACTTTATGCATGTGTCCAAAAATTTGATGTGATATTTTTGAGAAAGTTTTTGGAAACTAAACAGGGCCATTTGGCTGGAGTTTTAAACAGATTCCTCGCTGGAGTTAAATATGGACCCTAAATTTGGCTGAGGAAAATCAGTAGTGCAGATATGTTATGATAATTACCAATTTTTCATCAATTTCGCTAGCCGCGTAGGACACTGCAAGTTCTGCAGGCTAGTTTAGCTACATTTTCAAAGAACAGATTTTGCAAGTCTAAGAGCTAGTGAAAAAAAAATGACGGATGGGCATTGGACTACGCAGAAGCATGGGTCCAATTTTTTTTTATAACGTGTCATGCTTTGCACATTTTATTTTATGGCCATATAATTTTTAGGGTAATTTGAAGTAAGCACAAAAACATTCACCCAAATAAAAAAGGTATGTATCCTATTTGAAATGCATTCATGCATTGGGTTCATATGGCTCACTGTTTCAATTGAGGTCCTGAACCGGCGGTACGACAATTTTCACCAAAATTCGACAAATTTCGGTTGAATTACTGTTTCGATTTGAATTCCCAAAAACCATTTAGAAATTTCACTTGGAATATACTTCCGCCACACGTTGAAAACTCCAAAATTTGCATCTATCGATCAGCTTTCATCGAAAACATTAACCTGGTTCATATGCTATTCTGGGTGGTAGATAAACTATTTTACACAAGTTTTTTAGTCTGATATCGTTTGTTCAGTTCACTTCCAAATTTGCATCGCGAATTTATTCCATCACAAAAATTTTCAAAGCAAATACTTCGCGAAAAGAATACGATGCGTGATGACGTAGTTCGTGAATCGTGATGGAGCTTTCGCGCGCGCCGCCGCCGCCGCGGCGGCGGCGTTCAGCTCAAACTCCGGCGACGACGCAGCCGCTCGGCAAGCTCGTCGACGTAGCGATCCTGCCGCTCGCCGTCGCCGAGTGCCTCCTGCATCTCCCTTGCGTTGCGCGCGAACACCTTCCCCTCCTCCTCCGCCATCACCCGCCGCACCGCCGCCGCGACGTCCTCGCCGCGGAACGAGCCGTCGCCGTCGTCGTCCCTCGCCACCTCCACGCCGAGCCCCCTGTCCGCCATGGCCCTCGCGATGAGCCCCTGGTCGGCGATGAACGGCAGCATCACCAGCGGGAGGCCGCCGAACCGGAGGCTCTCCACGGTGGAGCCCCAGCCGCAGTGCGTCAGGAACGCGCCGACGGCGGCGTGCGCCAGGACGCGCACCTGCGGCACCCACCCCGCCTCCACCACGCTGCGACCCGCGACGCGCGCCTTGTACCCCTCCGGCAGCCGCTCGCCGGCGTCGCGCAGCGCCCAGAGGAACCGCGCGCCCGCGAGCTCCAGCCCCAGCGCGAGCTCGCGGACGTTGTCCGCCGTCACCGGCGCCTCCGTCCCGAGCGCCACGTAGACGACCGACCTCGCCGGCTGCTCGTCGAGCCACCGCATCAGGTCCGGGCGGTGGCCGTCGTCGTCGTCGCCGGCGGCGTCGGGCGGCAGCAGGAGGCCGGCGGGCACGACGGGCTTGTGGTAGAGCTCGTCGAGGAGGCCGCAGAGCTGGGCGCCCTCGACGTCGGGGCAGCTGCGGTAGACGATGAGGTGGCACCGCTGATGCAGCTGCCACATCCGGTCGATGTCGGAGACGCCGGAGGCGTTGGGCCGGTAGGCGGCGGCGGCGACCCACGCGGCCTCGTGGCGGCGGAAGGCGATGGTGGAGGGGAACGTGATCCACGGCGGCGGCGACATGAAGTCCTCCGGCTCGGTGCGCGGGTGCGCGTCGTGCGCCGCCTTCGGGCCGAGGAACGCGAGCGCCGCCGCCGAGTAGATGGAGAAGAAGGCGCACGGCACCCGGTGCTCGTCGGCGATGGGCGGGAGCCAGCCGTGGGCGAAGTCGACGACGACCCAGTCGGGCCTCCTGCTGAAAGGATCTGGTCGTCCTTCCCGGTCTCCGGCGGCGCAGGCGTCGGCGAGGAATGCGGCGAAGGGCGCGGCGAGGCCGTCGAACGCCTTCTTGAGAAGCTCCACCTTCTCCGGCGGGACATCGGCCGTCGACTCCGCGCCCTCCGGCAGGCCATCGAGCACCGGAAGCGGGAGCGAGACGACGCGGACGTAGGCGGCGAGCTCCGGCGGGAGCGCGGCGAGGCGGGAGGCGTTCCGCGGCGTGGCGAGGAAGGTGACGGCGGCGTGGCCACGCGCCGCCAGGCGCTTGGCGAGCTGGAGGAACGGGATGAGGTGGCCGAACGCCAGCCACGGGAACATCACCAGGTGGAGAGGAGGTGGAGGTGCTGATGCATCGACGTCGACGTCGACGTCGACGTCGCCGGCGCCGGCGCCGGCGACGCCATTGATCGCCATCTTTGGCTATCCGTGTAGATGCTGATGTGATGCGTGCTATCGTTCTCGGTCAATGAATTTGTATATGTCTTCTTCCTCTTTCTTTTTTGAAAACAATGTGTCAGACGTTTGTACATCAACTGACACCGCTGTAATATTGTATTGTATTGGATCTAACTTCTCTGTCTCATATTAAATTCATTTTTACACCCCTTCAATTTATTCCAAAATAATTTTTTTTAAATTAATCATTGCATCGTACTACTCTGTCAAAAAAAAAATCACACCTCGGATGGAGGGGTAGTTTGTAAAAATAGAGAATAATGTTATTGAGAGTAGATAGAGTGACCAATAGTTACATTGCGATTTGATAAAGTAGGGATATTCTAATATTTTTGTTTTTATATTAATATGTGTGTGATGAGTGAAAAATAAACTTATTTTGGGACGGAGATAATACTCCGAGAGCCCCTAATTTTTTGAAGTTAAAATGTAACTACATTTGTTATAATTTATTACATCACTATCGTACTAAGTTATCTGAAAGTTTTGAGGAGATTTATGGTCCAAGTTGTATAGCTAGTCTACTAGTTTCCGTTTAAAGTTTTTCCGACTTGTTTAAATATTGCTACATGGGCCAATTTTGTCACTAACGCATTAGGCAAGCCGAAATTATTAGCCCGTTACACATTCGTGTGGGCCAAAGTTTAGCCCGCTAACGCCTACCCATGTGTCAAACAAAATTCCAAATTTTTGGCCATTCAAGGTCTTCGCTATTTTTAGATAATAGAATAGAATCCCGACCTTTACTGACAGACAGAGGTATAGCCAATTATTACAAAACATGATCCAAATACAATCACACCTTAAATAAACAAGTCATAAAGAACACATCCAAACTGACAGAGGCACCTACCACTACTAACACCAATAGAAACATAAAACACAAATTTATTGAATTCTATTTGTGAAACTCTAGCTAAAATTGACGAAAAGTTGTATAACTGTTGACTCCAATGTCTTTGCGATGTCTATAGTCAACCAGTTTAATCAAATTAGCACTTTGGGTGGGAAAATTTAGGCCTGTTTATCATTTCTCCTCGGCCAAATGGGCCGCCTGGCCTGGCACGTCCTATGCACGACCGGGCCTGGGCCGAAGCTAGTTCGGCCGGCATGGCCCGACCAACACACCGGGCCGGGCTATGCCTGCCCACGGGTTGCATCCCCGGCCTAGGCCCGACCCATTAAGACTCGGGCCATGCCGGGCGGGCTTGAAGGCACGATAGCCCATCGTGCTTCTCTATTAAATAAGTTTACTATTCCTCCTGCATGTCTTTGGGCTGAGTCTTATATGGCTGGAATAAGTCTATTTTATATACCTATTGTCTTTGGGCTGTACCTCAAATGGCTGAATTAAGTCTATGATGGATCCCTCAACTATTTTTATTTAGTCGTGTCGGGCCGTGCCGGCCCACTATGCTGCGGGAGCAGCCCAGGCATGGCCCGGCGTGCCGTACTTGGGCCGGGCCTAATTGCCGTGCTTTGGGCCAGGTTGTCGAGCCTTGGGCCATATTGCCATCTATACACCCAGGTAAACCGAACGAAATTGTTGAAATTTGGACCGCAGTATGAATTTCGAAAAAAATAGAGAGAAGAGAGAATGGAAAACAAAATTCACTGCGCGTTTGGTTATTTGAGGTACGTATGGTTTGAGTTGAACCCACCAGATGGAAACATTCCTTATAAATCCGGGTTCAAAGCATCCATCAAAATCGAGTGGATTATCTCGACCCACTTTGATGGGCGCACGACGTGTGCCCGCGCCGCGCCGCTACTCGCTCGTCCTCTCGCCCGTCCATCGTTCGCCCGCGTGCCCGCGCGCCAGTCATCGCCGCTCATCCGCCTACCACTGGTCATCTATAGTCGTCCACCTGCTCGCCTGTCGGCTTGCTCACCCGCTCTTCCGGCCATCACCGAGTACTTTTACTGGCCCGCCGCTCACCTGCTCCTTCCGGTCATCGTCAAGCTCCTCCGCCCACCCCGCCTGCTCGTGATCCTGCCCGTCAGCCATCGGTCGCCGCCGCTCCTCTTCTACCTGCTTGCGAGCCCATGCCTCTGCTTATGCTGGCCGCCGACTTTCTCACGCACTCCCCTTTACCTGCTCGCAGATCACTTGCATGCGAATCCACGTTGCTCCTCGTTTTCTCCTGAGCTCGTGTTGCTCGATCCTTCGCTTGCTCGACGTCGGTTTTCTCGTGCACGCTCCTCCGCTTGCTAACCGCCTGCCTATGCTTGAGCATGCGCCGCTCCATTGCTGCCCGCACCCGCGCGCTCTCCTCTGCTTGCTCGATCGCCGCCTACCTGCGCGTTGGCGATCTGAACTTTGATCTCGTTTGTGAGTCAATCTGTGACCCTGCCTGTAATAGGTGATTTGGATTCATGTCTCCCTAGTCCCCACCCGACTCTATATTATCGGTATTGCTAATGTGTCCGTAGGCTGTTGAATGGTTTGGCTAATGGCTACTTTGGTAGTTGATATCCGTACTTTTCTATTGCAAAGCAGGGCAAATCTCTAACTCTTGAGATACAACCAGCTAACTTTGGTTGCAATATAATGGTTCCTAGTCCATCTTCTTGGCAGTCGTATACACTGAGTCACTGACTGGATATGAGAGTTAAGATCTTTATGATGTTTAAGTTGATAAAAACAAACAATTTGTTAATGATGGATTAAAATTGTCAGCATAACCGATAGGGATGAAAACGGATCGAACACGGTCAGAAAGCTCTATCATATTCGTTTTCATATTTTTTTCTTGGAATCAAAATCGGAATCGGAAACCCGGATATGAAAACGGAATCGAATATTATCGAATACAGATACGGAGCGAATACGAATCGAAACGAATACGGTAACGAATAATTATCGAAATATCAAGACCCCTCAAAGTATGCTTCTTAAATCGAGGAAGAGATGTAGCCATTAGTTTTCAAAAACAAAACATCAACATTTTCAAATTTTATCTCTATTTGTAAGGGCAAGGGGGAGATAGAAAATATTGTGTTTACTTTCAATACAAATTTATGTTATCATGAAACAAATAAATTCATGTGTATCACTGAAATTTTCGCAGGCACATTGAAATTTTTGAAAATTGGTTGAATATTTTAAATTTGGGGCTGAACATTTCAATTGGAGTTGAGAATTTCGAAATTGAATTAAATGTTCTAGAGCTTGAGTTGAATTTTTTAAATCTGAGTTGAGAGTTTTGAATTAGAACTGAAACTTTTCAATTTTTGAATTAAAAGTTATTAAAATTTTCAGAATTGAATTGAAAGTTTTTGAAAATTTGAGTGGTTATTTTTTAGAATTGAAATTTTCCATTTGTTTGTATGTTAATTGCTATTCCTTATATCTTTTTCATATGGTTTGTTTTGTTCCACCTAAGTAGAGAAAAGAAAAACATGTTTTTCATAAGAATACCGGATATCCGATGGAAAATATCGGATATTATCCGACCGTTATCCGATTCCGACGGATATCACATATATCATATTCGTTTTTATTCCCGAAAAAAAATTAAAATTTCCAGATATATCCGATCGAAACTATCCGAATCCCAAAAAAGGTCTGGTCGGACGGAACTATCCGAATCACTTTCAACCCTAATCACAAGTATATAGGTACCCCAATAGGTCGATATCGGTAGTGCCAGGATAAAGGTCCTTGCATCGGTCCAACTATCTTAGCCTGTGAAAGAGTGTTTAGACGAAAGCACAAGTTAGAATATAAGGCCAAAATGAATGTGAAGACACATAAGACTTGCATCTACTGAAGGAACACAGAGCCTACCCGAGAGCCGACGTGTGGTAGCACACCTGATTCAACGCTGTCCATTCCCACCCGGAGGATGAAGCGAGGCAGCATACCCAGCTTGTGGCCACCCAAGGAATCGCTCGTCAAGAGTCAAGGTGTGGCAGTGCTTGGGGACGGCTAGAGCTGGCGCCTTGAGTGTGTTCAATGTTTGCCACGTGGTATGCCCTTGAACCTACCATTACAAGCGGCGGAGTTGCTGATGGGGCCCCATGGGCCCCACACCCGGACATAGGAGGAACATGCCACCTGTTCTCGCCATCACTCTGTGCTAACAACAAGCAATCAAGGGATTGAATAGAGAACAGGTCTATCGCCCCGATCTCTCTTTGTCTTTCTCCCCCTCTAACCAAACCATCCCATCAAAGAATGGTTCGATTGTACCAATGATAGACCCGAGGAGAATGACAAAACACAACATGAAGATAACTATGTAGGGTGGTGAAGAAGAGTATAGAAATGTACAAGGTTTGCATCAACCAAGGGAACACGTGGGTAGTGTGCACGGCTTAAGGCCATCCACGGAATGACTGCCTGGAGGCTTACATGTGGCAACTAGTTCAAGGTGCATGCATGGTCAACGGCGTCTTCGAGGTGCATATTTTGGTGAAGTACACTTCCATGGCATTCAAATAATAGATCACGAGTCATTGAAAAAAATGAATCGCGAGATAATAACACTATTGGTGAAGTAAATATGACTTTACGATGAAGTAGAATATAGGCATGAGAACATATAAACATAGGGTAGTCTTGAGTGCATCGACAGCAATATATAGTCATTTGTAGCGCTGCAAGTAGCCAACAAACTCATCAAGATATTGTTCCTCCCGTGCCCTATCTCCGAGGATGCTATGCACCTCCTTAGCCTTTCTTGCCAATACCTTCCCCTCCTCCTCCACCATCACCCGCCTAACCGCTGCTGCAACATCATCCCTATAGAACGAACCATCGTCATAGTTCCTCGCCACCTCCACTCCTATCCCCCTTGCAGCCATTGCCTGAGCGATCAGGCCCTGATCGGCGACAAAAGGTAGCATCACTAGAGGGTGACCAAAGCAAAAGCTTTCCACGGTGGAGCCCCAACCACAGTGTGTTAGGAATGCGCCTATTGCACCATGTGCAAGCACACGCACTTGTGGCACCCACTCTGTGCACACTATGCCACGTGTGGCAACACGTGACTCGAACCCGCTTGGGAGGAATGTTCCAGTTTGGCTGTTGATGCCACTCGGAGGACGGAGTGCCCAGAGGAAGCGTACACCAGAGAGCTCTAGTCCAAGTGCGAGCTCGCGTACATGGTTTGTTGTGATAGGTGCCTCGCTCCCGAGTGCAACATAGATGACAGATCCATTTGGCTGCTTGTCAAGCCACTGTATTGCTGACACAAAGGATTGGTTAGAGGTGGTGTTTGGGGCATCTTCATCATGAACAATGTCTGCTGGGAGGAGGAGACTGGCAGGGACAGCCGGCCTAGCGAAGAGCTTGTTGAGGAGCGGGAACAGTCGTGGCTCTGCCTCGGGACAAGACGATAAGGCGGCAGCAGGAGCGTTCCATTTCCAGCAAACGGTCAACATCGGACACTCCAGAGGCGTTAGGCTGGAATGCAGCAGCGATCCACTCTGCTTCATGGCGCCGGTAGGCGAGGGTGGAGGGGAATGGGACCCACGGTGGCGCAACCATGTAGTCCTCAGTCGTTGTGCGCGGGTGAGTGATGTTCTCTTGCTTTGGACCGATGAAGGTCACAATGGCGGCCGGAATGATGAAGAAAACGGCGCATGGGATCTTGCAAGACACAAAAGATAGAAATGGTTGTCTATTAGTTAGGTTCCTGAAATTTTGTAAGTGTATGTCCCTTTTTTTTCTTTTATATTGTTCCATTTATATAAATGTGATGTCTAGCCTACAAATGAGAGAGAGAGAGAGAGAGAGAGAGACTACAATTAGGGATCCAATTTTGTACTGGCGGGCATATATGCTTCTCTCTATCATGTATGCAATTCTCTTGATCTATCCCAAAATATAAGGCACAAACACTTTTTTTTTTGCTTCATCTCATAATATAGTAGAAAACATTTATACATTAACTAGGATCTCTTTCTCTGCTAAATTTAGTTCGCTTTAAATCATCTACCATCAAGCCCCCAATCACACTAGGAGCATGCATCGAGGTGATCCAACCGAGAGGATGATTAAATTCTTTCTTAATATTTGTGTTAGTACTGGTTGTACTTTGTAAATTGGGACGGAAAGAATTATACTACTAAATAAGGGTCCTCATTACCTATCCACCTAAACCTACCGACATAGTAAGGGTCCTCATTACCCTAGGCATCTTTAATCATGTGCTTATTAACGAACATGCAAATGGGAATTAATTAAGCACGTGCATGCCATTTTCTTTCTCTCTTGCTCACCTCATGCTCCTCAGCAATCGGCCAGAACCAGTTCTGCGCGAAGTCGAGTATGATCCAGTCAGGCCTCCTCGAAAACCCAGCGGCGGCTTCTTCCCCATCACCGGCGCTGCCGCCGCCGCAGGCCTCGGCGACGAGGCTAGCGAAGGGAGCGGCGAGGCCGTCGAACGCCTTCTTGAGGAGCCCGACCTTCTCCGGCGGGACGTCGGCCGTCGACTCGGCGCCCTCCGGCAGGCCATCGACGGCCGGGAGGTCGAGCGGCACGACGCGGAGGTTGGCGGACAGCGCCGGTGGGATCGCGCCCAGCCTCGCGGCGTTCCTCGGCGTGGAGACGAAGGTGACGGCGTGGCCGCGGCTGGCCAGCCGCTTGGAGAGCTCGAGGAAGGGGATCATGTGGCCGAAGGCCAGCCATGGGAACACCACAATGTGAAGCGGAGAAGAAGAAGAAGAAGAAGAAGAAGAAGAAGAAGAAGAAGAAGAAGCATCAGCAGCAGCCTGCACCGCCTCTGACATGGCCGGATTATTGGAAAGAGTTGGATATCTGATGATTTTTTTTAAAGAGTTGGATATCTGATGATGTGTGTGTATATGTATATATAACTGTAAGATTGGTGAAATGTAATCATGGAGACAGAATGCGCGCGATCCACGAGGGTGATTTGTTTAATGATTGTAGTTGTTGTCGGACGTACGATTTGGTGATCCGGGCTGGCCGGCTGGGTGTACGATAGTAATGATGATCAGTTTGATATTCCAATGATATCTCTGTTGTTAAACATCGACGTGATTTAATTTAGGCAAAATTTGTCACAAGACACGCAAAAAACGTGTAATTGGCTAGAAGACACCACAAAAACATGACACGGCTGATGGACACTAAAAAAATATGTAATTGGCCATAGGACACCGGTCGTATTATTTTATTATTTCCAAGTCAAAAGAGGTGAGATATTTTTCTAAATGCCTGGATTGCCCCTTCTCTTTCCTTCCTTTTCCCTTCCTGTTGACTTTGCCTGGAACGGCACGGCGGCCTCGAAGGCGCGGTGGGGCGACACTGGCGGCCACCTTCTCCTCACACTCCACGCCGCTGCCGCCGGCATCGACAACGACGACGAGGATGGCGGCGGCGCAGCAGCCTTCGCTGCCGTGGCAGGATCTCTCGGCGCATCTGCGAGGGCTCATCCTCCTCCACCTCCCGTCCCTCCCCAACCACGTCCGCATCCGCGCCATCTGCCGCTCCACGCCACCACCGCCGGCACTGACGACGATGAGGAGGATGGCGGCGACGCAGCAGCCTTCGCTGTCGTGGCAGGATCTCTCGGCGGATCTGCGAGGGCTCGTGCTCTCCACCTCCTGTCCCTCCCCAACCACGTCCGCATCCGCGCTGTCTGCTGCTCCACGCCGCCGCCACCGGCACCGACGAGGAGGAGGAGGATGGTGGCGGCGTAGCAGCCTTCGCCACGCTGGCAGGCTCTCTCGGCGGACCTGCTAGGCCTCGTGTTCCTCCACCTCCCGTCCCTCCCCGACCACATCCGCCTCCGC